AATAAGAAATATAATATAAATAAGAAATTAAAGATATATAAGATATATAAGAAATTATAGATCGCTAAGATCGCTAACAAATTAGAGAAATAATAAAAATCATAGAAATTAGAGAAAGTTGAGATCCATGATTGACAGGACCATCATTCGCTAATTGTAATTAGCCTAGTATTAATGCATCATATCTAGACTATCACTAACAATGTAGGTGCAATAATCTGATCGATTTCAGAATTGTGTCTTTATTAATGAACACAGAAGATTCTTCACAAATGTTTGATTTTTGTAAAAACTTTAAATTTATTTTGAATTAGGGTTGGTGATTTTATGATTTATCTAGAATTTTTGTGAAGTATTTGAGCCGTTGATATAGTTGAATTTGAAATTGGTAAAGATAATTTGATGAATTTGACCATGGCATTTGTTTGAAAGAGGTTAAAGAAGTAGAAGATTGTTGATCACGTAAAAATAAAATTATGTAATTCTTAATAGAATTTATCTCCGATAAAAGTTAAAGAACCTGCAAAAAAAATTGAAAAATCACGTTTTACATATATTGTTTAGTTTGTAAAATGGCTGCCAGTCAGATGAAATAATGTGAGTTGTGTTTCAGTTGGTTTATCTTTTGATATATAAGAGCTTTATTATTAAAAGTAAATTATGAGACTATAAATTAATTTTGAATAAATGATGATCAAAAAATAGTTATGCTACAATAAACATACTTGTCCAATAAAAAATTGCACTAAAAATATCAAAAATATATTTATTGGATCAAATCAATTAATAAGACGATACTATATAATATTTAAAGTTATTAATATATGTCGATTATTTATCGATCATTTCTAAATTTACATAAAAATCTAATTTTAAATTTTTTGAATAATATTACACAATTTTTAAGTATTTTTGCCAACCTAATTGCTTGCTTTATTAATAAGCTAATAACCTCTAAAAATTTAACCAAATAAAGTTCATTTAGTATACTATTATATAAATCAAAAATCTTATTTTTTGTTGAAAGGTTCTCAGAACTAATTTTTAATAGCAAAGCTCTTATATAGTCTATTACGATACATTCAAACTGGATACCAATTTTGTTGATAATAGCAGATTCAAAAGCCAAAGCTACACCTATTACATTTATCTGATGAATAGGTAAATCTTCAGGAAAAATATGTAAAATTACTGCATAATTTAAATTAGCTAAAACAAATTAAATAATTCAAATAAACAAAATTAACTTATTAATAAATTAATTAAAATATATAAATAAAATAAGTATTTTTTTAAAAAATATATATATATTTCTTATATCAATTTCATTATTGTTTGAACTTTTCATAAATTTTGAATTTACAACAGATATAATAAGACATTCTTTTAATTTGGAAATATAAGATAGTTTTGATTCTTTAATAGGATAAAAAACAGTAATATTAAAAACTTGGTTGAATCATTTTTATTAAGCCTAGTATATCCAATAGCAATTCTCATAAAATAACCACTTAAAATCTTTTCTTTATATTTTAAATATACAAGATTGTAAATAATTGAGCTTTCAAACTGAATATTTTTTTTTGAACTTATAAAATACATTTTTTAAATATTTGAGAGTATTTGATTTTAAATTTTTTTTTTAGATTTAAAAAATGAATAAATTTAACAAATATATTTTACTTTTCTATATAAAAGAAAAAAATTAGATGAATAATTCGTTTTTTAGATTTTTAAAAAAAAATTAGATTAATAATCTGCTTTTTAGATTTTCGAAAAAATCTTTTTTAATTTAATATTGTTTATGATTTGAATATAAGCATGTTATTGTAAATTAATATATAAAAGTGGAAAAATTAATTTTATTTTTCAAAAAAAAAAAAGAAATATGCAAGACAAATTACAAACAAATGAATGATTTTTTTAAAAATAATACAAATGATGAAAATACAATACAAAACATATAATGTAACAAAAATATACATATAAAATATCATATAAAAAATCTTCAAAAAGAAAAATATACCATTACTAATAAATTAAAACTATGAAAATAAAGTTTGTGTTATAAAAAAAAAGAAAATTGTTTAAATTATTAAATTAAAAAATGTCAACCAATCACTAAAATTCAAAAAATGTTACAAATGAAAAAATGATTTCAAAATTAAATAAATTTATAAATGATAAAAATTTTTAAAAACAATAAATTAAAAAGATAAAATATCAAATAAAAATATAACAAAAGAAAATGTTTATAAATTTATATTTTAACGAAAATAAGAATTAATCATAATTTTGATATAACATAAAAAAATAAGAATACAAATAAAAATACAATATGATATAATATAAAATAACAAAAATGCATAACACAACAAATATTATGTAAAAATTCTTTAAAAGAAATAAATAAATTAGTATAATAACATTACAAATAAGGAAAATAAAAGAAATACAAATTTTTTTCATGATCAAGACAATTGTAACATAGAAACATAACCAATCACAAATAAGAGAAATAAAAGAAATAGAAATTTTTTTCATGATATTGTAACACAAATTAAATGATCAACAAAAATTTAATGTAACACAAAAAATCAAATAAAACGAAATTGTTTTTTTTATTTTATTTTTTTTATTAATTTAAATTGATAAAAATAAAAATAATAAATGCAAATGATCTACAAAATTAACGAAACGAAAATTTCTGCAAAATTCAAACATATTATATGATGGTTAAATTTAATGCACTCTAAAAGTAGCACAGGAAATTTCTAATTACGAATTTATTCTAATGATAGCTATAGCTATAATAGCTATATAAACTTCAAATTCAATTTACTCGAGGTGCATTACCGAAATCGTTCACATATACATAGATCGATGAAGATCTGTACAACTAACTATACAAAGTGAGCGAAAAACTGAATAAATAAAGAATAGATCATCAAAAATGTAATGCATCAAAATCATATCTTCTCTAACATGGTATTTGCTAAAACTCCATATTTTACTTATTTCTTTTAAGCTTATTAAGTTTACTTTCATATTTACAGTATTATCGCGAACTTTTTTAAAAAATAAATTAAAAATTTTTATTTATAAAAAATTACATAACTTAATTAAATGCAAAGAATTCTTGTGTTACTAATTAAAAAATGTTTGGTCAAACGGTCGGTCAGAAACCGACTGAAATCGGTTATGGTCATGACCGTAACCATTAAAATCCCTAGTTCCAATGACAATGTGATTTTAAGTCATTAAAAATAATTTAAAAAAAAAAATTCAAATACTTTAATTGCGAAATGAAATTAATGTATTTGAACTAATATACTCGTGTCCTGAGTATGTATTTTAACGAAATAACCTGATAATCTGAATAAAGACATTAAAAATAATAAATATCCATACATAAAATTCAGAATGCTTTTTTAAATAATATAACAACTAAATTTTTTCGGGTTAAGTTGGTTAGATAAAAAAAAAGAAACATTCTAAAGTTTTTAATAAAAATCATCATCGTAGAAAAAAACACCAAATTTTCCAAAAATTTTAGCTCCATTTATCATATGTTTGCCTCTTTTGACCTATCCCGCTTTATAAAAAAATATGACTAATTTAAAATATTTTCGACTAATTTGATCATAAATTTTCTAAATAAATTCTTTATGACTCAATAAATAAAAAAATTCAACTATCAAATATCATTTTTATACGTAATTTTTTATTAAAAAAAATTTCATGCAAAAATACTTGCGTAAAATCATTGAATTCAAAAAATTTGTGATAGAAGAATTATAAAGGACAATAAAGAATTAAGAAGGTAATATAATAGTAATTTAGAAAATTAAGGTAACAGTAATAATGTTAAACCTTTTTTTTTGCTTAGTAATAGACATTCTTCTTTAAATATTTAGGGGATATAAATTTTAAAGATTTAGGTAAATTTGGTAAGTTGGTTATTTTAGTATTATCACAATAGAGTTCTAATAAGGAGTTAGGTAAAGTTGGTAAGCTAGTTAATTGAGTACCAAAGCAATAGAGTTTCGTTAATGAATTAGGTAAATTTGGTAAGCTGGTTATTTTAGTATTATCACATCGAAGAATTGTTAAGGAATCAGGTAAAGTTTGTAAACGAATTAACCGAGAATTATTGCAATAAAGTTCTTTTAAGGCGTTGGGTAAATTTGGTATGCTATTTATTTTAGTATTATCACATCGAAGAATTTTTAAGGAGTTAGGTAAGATTGGTAAACGAATTAATTGAGTATTATTGTTACAATAGAGTTCTTTTAAGGAGTTGGGTAAAATTGGTAAGGAAGTTATTTTAGTATTATGACAATCGAGGGTTGTTAATAAGGTATTGCTTAAAGTTGGTAAGCTGGCGATTTTAGTATTATCGCATTGGAGATGTATCAAGGAATTAGGTAAAGGTGGTAAGTTGGTTAAATGAGCATCAACGCACATGAGTTTTGTTAAATTTCTATATCCTCCTGTTGTCTTAAATATGTCATCTTTATTATGCTTAGTAATGGTTAAAGTTTTTGTAGTAACGTCATAAATAATATCTAATTCTGCAATCATCATTTTCCATTGCTCTCTAATTTTTTCTTTCAAATCATTAATAGTTTCATGCTTAGTTTTGGCGACTTGTTCTAAATCGTTAATTTTTTCTTGCTTGGCTTTAGTTTCAATTTCTTGCAGCTTAATCTTTTCTTCTAGAATAAAATTAGTTTCTTGCTTGGATTTGACGTCGTCTTCTCGTTTTCTAACCTTTTCAGCCAAGTTATTAATTATATCTTGCTTGGCTTTAACTACTATTTCTTGCTGCTTAATCCTTTCTTCTAAAATGTTATTAGTTTCTTGCTTGGATTTGACGACTTCTTCTCGTTCTCTAACCTTTTCAGCTAAGTTATTAATTATATCTTGCTTGGTCTGAGTTTCAATTTCGCGCAGTTTAATCCTTTCTTCCAAAACATTTAAGGTTTTTTGTTTGGTATTGACTTCTACTTCTAGATTTCCAACTTCTTCTTCTAAATTACTCATCTTTTCTTGCAAGGCTTTAACTTTATTTCTCGTTCTTTAACTTTTTCTTCTAAAATGTTATTAGTTTTTTGCTTGGTTTTAAATTCTTCTTCTCGTACTTTATCCTTTTCTTGAAAATATGCTAATTGACAACTTAGCTTTGATGATTCCTCTCTTTGTATTTTTAAATCATAATTTAAGATTAGAATTTCTTGCTTTCGATCATTTAATTCACTTAATATCTCAGTAAGTTTTCGTCCTGCTAATAGTTCTCTTAAATTATCTAAATCCTTACTACCTATTTCATTCAATAAAAAGGAGAGTAGCAATTGATTTTCATCATCGTACTTCATTTTACTTTGTTTCAAATCCTTTGATTCATTTACCAAGACTTTCAAGGAATTTTCAGGATTATTTTTTAAATTCATTTTGCGATTATTAATTGTAAACATCAAAATTTGAATATAGGGTGGGTAAAAGGTATTTTTCTTTATAAAATTATTAATTTCAACCATTGATCATTTCTTTTTTTGGTTCTAAAAAGAAATTTGATTTACTTTTATTTGGTAAGTTTGATATATGGAAAATTTGTCAATACTATATTATTTTTGACAGATTCGATTTATTTAAATTTTTATCTATTTAGTCATAGTTTCCAGACTAAAGTTATATTTGATTACATAGCGATTAACATGTGAATATGATGTAAATTGAGTGAACATTTTTTTTTCTTCGTTCGTTATATGTCATTTTCTTCATTGCTTTCATTACCATAATAGACTTATTTAATAAACTATGGAAAGGATCATCAACGAACATATGCGCCTCCGCAGCTTACGTAATTTAAATGATCAAACAACAAAAAAAATATATTATTTATTTTCTAGTTTTATTAGGATACAAATAATTTACTTAACCGATAAATTGACCGACCCCATCTCCTAAGTTTACAACAAAATCAACATATAATGTTTCAATCGAAATATAAAAATGTAACTAACTACATTTAAATAATCAGTGTTGTCAAGTATGTTAAAAAGCAATAAAGCCAAGTGGAATCAAATTATCGATAAGTTTATAAATGCTTTACACAAACCAATGATAAACGGAAGTATGGAATTTGTTCCTTCTGATGGATTCAAGGATATCAACCTTAGCGCGCGTCGAAGATTACCTACAGCAATTTGATCAGCATCAACATTGGCTATCCATAAATGCCAAGATTATCGTTAACACCTAGGTGTTGACATATATTATTTAAGCCACCTGGAATGACTGTTAAGTCAGAATCATATTCTTTAAACTTTTCCTTAACCGACACTTCTAATGTCATCTAAAGGAATCATAGACCAATAACATTGGTGTCCTAAATCCATCAATATTCTTTTCGTTATTAAGGTAATCAATATATCGCTTCATTAATTCAGAATCCATCCAGCCATTTTCCTGAAACCAGACAAATATGCCAGAAGGAATACATTCTCCTCTTGCTAATTGTTTCCCCTTAATATGCAAATTGGAGGATATTTCATTCCATCTGATAAGTTTAATTAATTTTTAATAATCCTAAACAATTGGGGTTGAGTATTTTATCTTCACAAAAGATTATTTAAAAAATTCTTACCTGCAGTGCATGTTAAAACAACCATAAATCGATTTTTTTCGTTGCTTGTTGCACGGATATGAATCATTTTCTCACCCTTTTGACCAATTGTAAAGTTTACAGCCATATCAAACCAGACAGGAGTCTCACCCATATTGTGAATATTATGTAATTCAAGGATTTTTTAATCCTAAGTTGGATAATAAATTAACGAACTTTTCTAACAATTATTCGGTTTGTGCAGGGAGTTTTTGCGAAACACTTGTACGACTCCGTCATGCCAGTTTATTTGTTTTAAAATCTCTGCTGCTATTGCTGTTATTGTTGGTGTTGCTGTTGCCACTATTATTGTTACTGCTTATCTTTTTTTAAAATATTTAGCATGTAACTTTTACAATTGCTTAAGTTAAAGCTAGACCTTACTTTCTTTGACTAATAATCCAATCATGCAACTTTTTTTCAGCTTCAGGGTAGAAAGGTTTTGACCTGAACCAACTCGCTTGCTGTTTGGTTTACTTCAACCCATCTCCCAACTATCTATACTAACGTCAAGTTCAAAATGACTTTCCGCTTTGTTTCTTCCCATTTGTTTCGCATATTCAACAATAAGCATTACGGTTACGCTTAACAAATTTTGGCAGTTGTAAAAAAATCAACAGGTTTAAAACAGGTTTGTGTTTGCGTGACAAATACGCGCAGAACGCGCTTCCATTTCACAAGATTGTTAAAATCGGACGATCATGACGGTAATTTTTTTTTGCCCGAGCAATTATTTTATATTCCAATTTAGTTCCTCCTTGCGGAAGAATATTTATTTTTAAGCCCTTTAAGCCTCAACTACTCTCCTAGACGGGCTTTTATTCTCCGTTGGTGGGGAGATCGTTTCAATCATCGTTAATCGTTTATTCAACAGATTTAAAGAGAAAAAAATTTTGTTTTAAAAAACCTCCACAAAATTAAGCACCCCTATAATAAAATTACAAAATTATACTTCAAGATAATACGCAAAGCAACTGTGAGCGTATCAACTTAAATCTTAAAATGGAGGTTGACATTGATACTCTATTTGAGGGGTCAATGAAATGTTTTTTTTTTACTTATTTTATTTAATAAACATTATAATTTTATGATATGTCTCGATTGCTCAAAAAGGAAAATTAACTAGATTCATGTATCATTATTTAATCGATTTATTAAAGTTATCTTGATCCGGCATAAATGCATTGCGACTCCGATTTGATTTGTAATATCTACGCCTCAAATGATCAAAATTTTTGTAATAATTTACAATTGTTTTTTATCCTTTTTGTTGAAGATCGAAGATCGACATTGCTTTCTCCTTTTTAGCGAAGATTAGATCACGATAGAGAAATTTATTTACCATCTTTTACCTTATTAAACAATTATATCATAGCATGTTTTTGTCGTGTTGATGTATAAATTTAAATATTAAAATGCTTATCAACAATCAATTCACGTACAGGCAGGCGTGAAATGCTTCTTAATGATAGAAGCAATAAGAAAAGTTTCTATGAAAGCAATAGGAAGGCATATTTCTGCGGAACGGTCAACGATTTCAATTTGATAAATTGTAACCAATAAAAAAAATTCTTAATTTTTATCACGTTTTTGAGATTTATGGTCATGGAAGTGACATTAACCCTTATCCACAATAAATAATTTCCATAACGTTAGTTTATGGCACAGTTAAGTATTTTTTTTGAAAATATACCAATTACTTTTTTCTTTTTTTTTTTCTTTTTTGGAAAATTATTATTCAAAGTATTGATCGTTTCTGGCTTTAAATATAAAACAAAGTTTTAGGTAAATAAATCTTTTTTCTTAGCTTTCATTCCTAATTTGAAATCTATTTATAGTTAAAAATACAAATTTGCTGTTAACTAGGCTTTTAAATAATTTAGATTTTTTTTTTCCTAAATAAACTTTAATATTGGTTTCGAAGTGAATAATTGTGATAAGTGAAGTGCTAATTGCTGTTTAAGAAAATGGAACAATGGGACTTAATCAAAGCATTCGGATAGGGATATTTATACTGTGGCATAAAAGCAAGATATGCTTGAAGTTCTTCGTAATACACTCGAATACACCGGCTTTTGTTGGAATTGAAAAATGTAAATTAATCACTACACACCAATCGTCCTTGGTAAGTCAAGTGCCTCCATATTTGAAGCTTTCGTCGAGCTAATTGGTGTCCAAAGCTTCGTTTAATTATTGCACGTATTTTTACTAGTAGAAAAGATAAATTTACTTTATCTATCGATTATAAAATGAAATTCAATTTAAAGTAGTTACTATTAAACGATTTTGCCGAGTTTGGTGATTCAAAATCGGTATTAATATCGATTTCCTATTTTGGCGATTTTCAAATTCCGATCCCTACCCTGCATTTTTTATTTATATTTGAGCATTAATAGGCAAAAGGTGCAAATTCATTAATATCTTTGTATCTCTGAAAATTAACTTTATGTTTAAATTCAGAGGTTGTGGCGGAAATATAAATTAAAATCATTGTTCATAACGATTAAAAAAAAAAATAAAACAAAAAAAAGAAAAGCAGCATCGTTTTCCCTATCGTTTATTAATGTATTTGGCTTGATCAAAGAAAAATTAATATCAAAAATTTTAAAAAGAAAAAATGTCTTACAACTGATGCAGCAGCAACCAATTTTATTGAAAGCCTAAAAAAATAGGAGTTAAAATTAAATTTAATCAAAAGAAAAATCGTTACTTACATATAATCAATCAATGTAGAATGATATGAACGAAAAAAATTAGTTAAAAAAAAAAAGCTTCAGCAAAAAAATATCGGAAAAAAAAGATTTGATCGCTGCGTCTAATACAATTAATACAATACTGCTTTAAAAGCCTTTTCATTCAACTCAAGTTACTTGAGCAAAGCTTATAATTTTACGACTTTACTGATTAAATTTTTTCTCCAATCCATCCGAAAGTGTCTAGTCATGTAATTCGATTCGACCAAATTGTTCCGAGTAAATTACATATTAATATGTACTTTAAATCCCCTAACAAATCTACATATATTATATTTTGACAGGTCACGGTTAATTATATAGAGACTCATACTGGACACCTAAATTTGAGTCGCCGACCTTTTCAGTACATTACCATTAAGTGATAAAGAATGCACCAAGTCCAAGAAATTACAAATGATCGTTTATAATCTGCATATTTCTTATTATTCAAAAACAATTTTATCCACAACATAAAGTCTTGTTGAAACGCCCGACCAACAATATTATAATAAAACAAAAAATAGAAAATTTAAGGTCATATAAAATATTTGTATTTTTCTCTACAATTATCTCTGAATTATATAGCTAATATTTACATACAGTAAAATATAAAATCATATTGCTGTTAAAGTTATTAAAAATAATATTTATTTGAATATCAATCTCATATCTTGTAGAGACTTAATCCAATATCGTATCAAACTTTAATACTTTTCCGAGATGTTACATCTGCAAAAAATTCAATACTGTATATGCATTTGATATTCGAATAAATGTACCTAGAAATAATAATATCAACATTATATAATCGTGAATAATAAAAATAGATTTTGATTCGGTGGTTTGATAAATGGTTAATAATCAAATGAATTGTTATGTTTATCTTAGACAACATCAATATGAGCTTCAAAATCTAAAAATATGGACAGCTTTGTTCGACAGTCTATAAAATTGCCTATTTCGAAAAATACAGCATTTAACCCTTCTAATTTATTATTTTTTAAGTAAAGGTGGCGAAGCTGATAATTGATAACCTATGAGGAGTGTGAATTATTTAATTGCATAATCTTTTTAAGGAGAGAAAAAAAAAAAACGTAATAATTAAATTTTATAGCAAATTCCGGTATATGTTTAAATTACGTAATCGGATTTTTGGAATTTTTCAAAACGGTCCAATAATCTAGATCGAAATTTTGCAAGCATTTTATTGAAATTATCGTATATATTAAAAATATTTTTAATGAAGAATTATAAAAAAAAATAAATTATGTTTAGGGAGTGGAACAAAAGTTCTGAATGTCATAATTCTCAAATTCACGTGTTCGGTCCGAGTTCCGGGTTTTGCTGTAGTCTCTGGATATGACACAACGAATTATTATTGGACCAAATGAGTATGTTTTTAAGTTATATATGATTAAATATTTATTTATGTAGACCAATAATGCAGGGTTTTTGGTAAGTATGTTATTACAAAATATGTGTATATATTAAAAGGGGTGAACAACGAATGGAGAAATCCACTTAAAGACGAAACCTTCTATGTATTAAATATAACAAGCTTTTTAACAGGAAATTTAATTTCGGTTATTTTTAGTTGTTAACAAAAGTTGGACTTTTCTGACGTTTTTGTAGCATCTTTTATGCTACAATTTATGTATCATTTTTGCTTACATAACAAAATAAAAAAATTAGAAATTATTTCTAACCTAAATCTGGTTAAAAAAGATTGCTTTCTTTACCATTTTAGCTTTGAAAATATTAAGTTGATCGTTTTGGGCTGATGATTTTTCCAAAAAAAATCCAGTCTATCTTTTTTTAGTTTTAGGTTGGTCTTCTGGACTTTCTTTTATTTTTATTAAAATTATTTAATTTATTAATTATTTTTTGATTATTTTATTTTATAATTCAATATTTGTTTAGATGCATGCAGATATTGTTTTTTTATTTTTAGTCGTTTAAAGGAATATTCATTAAATTATCGAACACAAATGTAACAGAAAGAACCAATCAGCATTGACTCAAAATTTGAGTGGGACATTTCCGTGTTACACATTCTAGACCATAGATAGTCCTTTGCTTCTCCGACAAATAATCGACAATTGATCGGCAAGTATTTTTTGTTAAAATAACACAGATTTGGGTATTAAATTTCTTTTTCTTACTAAACGTATTTTTTTCTTTTCCCCCTTTTTTTTCTTTAACAAAATGTCTTACTATACTCTCCCTGTTGACTGTTTAAGTGATATTTTGCAACATTTGATAGACGATGACCTACGTTCGTGCTTACTAGTAAGCAGACTTTGGTGTGAAACATCTGTTCGAATTTTATGGAGAAATATTCAAAATTTTAATACTTTACTCGCTTGCCTTCCTGATAATTCAAAATTGATTTTAACAGAGAACAAAGATTTAATCTCAGTCTCGATTTCAAGACCTCCTTTATTTAATTATGCAACATTTATCAAGAATATTTGGATTAACAATACTTGCGTCTCAATTAAAAGATTTCTTAAAAGTCGTATTTGTTTTGAATTAGAAAGCTCTGAAAAGAATCAACTAATTACGTTGATCACACAGGAATTAATTAAAATGTTAATAAATCAAACCTCTCTGAAAATTTTATATTTTTACTCGAATATGGACGACATATATAAACCATTTATCAACTATCATGGAGTTAAAAAATGTTTAAGAGATCTTTCTGAATTAGAGTGTAGTTCAAATGTTTTTCCTGGATTTTTTAATAAGCTATCTCATGTTTGTCATGGTTTACGATCGTTAAAGATATATTTTTATGATAGCATCTCAAATGAATTAGTTAAATTTGTTTCTGTTCAAAAAAATTTAAAAAACTTGCATTTGCAATTTCATTTTATGGAACAAAGTCTACCCTTTACAAAATTTCCTAATTCGTTAACCAGGTTACACATTGATGGTGGAAATTTTCATATGCCATGGTCACTTATTTCAGAGCTTTCAAATTTACAAGAACTTTCATTTTATAACAAAAATAGTGATTTAAAAGATTTTGAAAACCTTCAATATGCTATCTTTCCACAATTGGAAATTTTGAAATTTGAATGTGTATGTCCAGAAGATGAATACCTATTCAAATTTCTGGAAAATAATGGAAAGAATTTAAGGAAACTTTTTCTTTGCGAAAACATTGATGGTTCAGTAAATTCAGATATAGGTACCTTTTGTACAAATCTTAAGTATTTACGCACTATACTTCCGGATGGAGACGTGGAATCATTAAAAGTAATTTTTAATGGTTGTAAACAATTGGAAAGCATAGAGATTTTGCGTTGTGATTGTTGTGATTTCTTTTTAGATGAGCGTAAATTATTAGAGATTGTTGTTGAATTTTCACCAAAATTTTTTTACAAGTTGACAGTAAATTTGGGAATTCACGTATATCCGGAAACTACATTTAAATGGGAATTAAAGTCTATCTTGAAACGATGGGCCAATCGTGAACCTTGTATTCCACTTTTTTTGAAAATCACTTTATTGTCAGAAAAGGTTATAGAATTTTCAAATAGTAATTTCAGAATAATTAGTGAGTATAAAAGATCGGGCGTTATACATGACTTCAAAATTATTAACCTTGGAAAATGATTAATTATATTTTATTTTTACTGTATTTTTTGTCTTGGTATATTCATTATTTTTATTATTTTTGATTTTATAATTATCATGTATGAAACTTTTAATATAGATTTCTGTTTGTAATTCAAATAAAAATATATTTTTTATGCGACAATGTGCTATAATTATATGATTGGCTAATTTTACTATGTATAAATGGTTACACAAAAGTAGGAAATTACGATTGTAGATTTTTTTTTTTTTGTAATAATACCCTACCCCCTCCGGTTTCGAATTGTTTTATTTCGTTTCGAACGATCGATTTTAGTTTTTTTTTTTTTTATTTTTTTTTTGTTAATTCAATATTAATGGATTCTATTTTTATTCGATTTTCGATTTTTTCTATTTTGATATAATCGATTTTAATTTATATAATGGCAAATTAATAATTAACTTTATAGGGAGCTTAAAACATAAATAAAAAAGTATAAAATAAAAAATGAACTCGACATTTTTAAAGGTGTGACGACAAACTAACAATTTGAACAATCAATGGGATTTAAGTTAATAATCTTGAAACAACATAAACAAAAATCGCTATAAAAAAAATCACTCCTTTCTTTTGAGAAAAGTCATCAGTTCGAAAGGCTTAATTAAAAAAAATGATTTTATGTTTACATTTTGAATGCCAATACTTTAAAAAGAAAGCGTCGCGCTGATCTTGATAATGATCTATGACCAATCACCAACTATAAAGATTTGTTATTATTAATTTTGAATCAAGAAATAATCAATGATTTGTTAGTAAACAAATAAACCGTAGGACAATTCCTTTTTCGCAATATAACATATAATTAATGATTAAAAATGACCTAGAATGAAAAAATAGTTATTATACTATCACAATAGGAAAAAATAATAATGTGAATTATCATTTCACATCGGATTTATCGAATAAATATCCATATTTCTAAATAATACGATTCATAATTTCGATCTATATCTTTTGCTGCGCTAATATGGTTCTATTAAATCTTAATGAATAAGGTTCATTATGTACCACTATTATAAACAATAAATTCGGCATGTTTTCTATATAACGAATTCCATTTAATTTTGATCTAAACGTTATACAATGTTTCGGATAAAATCTAATAATACAAATAATGAATAAGATATAATTTATGAAAATATATAAAAAATATGATCTTTTTCAAACCCGTTAATTATTTAATTCGGAACAACCGAATTTTACTGAATTTTTATGTACAGTCGCGTCGCAAAGTAACGACATATAAAAAATTGAAAATTTAAGGCTATAAAATATTTGCATTATTCTTTTCAAATATCTCTGAAATATATATCATTCTATGGCTAATCAAATTTACTTGCGTCCTAGAACCAAGATGTACGAGCTACTTTAATTATAAAAGTTGAAAATTTTTATATATTTTTTTCTGTCTATTATTATAAAAAATAATTTACATATAAATAATTAAAATTTCTAAACCATATATACAATCGTATTATTGTTAAAATTATTTCCAAATTTATTAGAATGTCAATAAGTTATATTTTTTTAAAAAAAATGATTACTATCTTGCAGAGACTTAAACCCTTGAACTTTATTAGTTTTAAAATTTATAAAATTTTTTTATTTATATTTTACTATATAATTTCTATCGGACGTTACTTATGACGCGACTGTACATTCTACTACCAAGTTTTATTGTTTATTGTATAACTTTTGAAATTTATTTACATCGAAAATGAATTTAAACTAGTGATGTTAAGCGGTCCTGAAACGTGTGATGAATTTTTTTTACTGGTATTTTATTTACTTTCTAATGATAATTCTTCGGGAATCCTGAATCTTTTATTGTTGAAATTAAAAAATACAAATAATCTTAATAACCAATAATTAAATAAAAGATAATTCATTAAATTTTAACTTTTAATACTATAATCTATAACTAAATATAAATATAACAATTATAAATATTAATATTAAATATAACAAAATTGAATAATTTTCCTTTTAAAAATTATACATAAAGCGAATCCAAATCGTGACCAAATCTTAGCTAGAAGGTTGTAACAAATATTTGACTTGGTCATAATTTTAATAGGCAATTCATCTATATTGTAGGGATGGAAAAGGTTCCATTTCGGTTCTGAAAAAAATTTGAGCGTCGTCAATACAAATAGAGCATGTGATGATCAATTATAAAATTTTTTGATTGGTTAACCTCTTATTTACATTGTTAGAAACTTGAAAAGGACAACGCGTGTTGAAAAAGAGGAGTCATCTCCCTCAAATGACATTACCTTTAATGTGAATGGTGAGAATATAAAGACAATTCGGTATATGCTTTCTTCAAGCTCGGAAGGAAATTCATAAATATGACTAGTTCGATTTACCATCACTGTCGTTGGAATGTTCAACCAAACTCTATGCGCTACCTATAATCATAGATAGTATTTTAGTTTGCTTTTAATTCAGTTTTTTATTATTTACAATATTTGTTAAAACAGTACGATTTTTATATATTTCAAATTTCGAATTTTTTTTTTGCATTATTTGTCCACGTTAAAATTTCTGTACAATCATTTTTTTATGAAAAATTGAAATTACCACACAAAACTGTATGATTCAGTATGCCCCTGTAAAAATCTGTGCGAAACCTGTACAACTTTTTTCATAGGGACGGTATCTCAACATTGGTACGACTAAACTAGTATGCTATTTATATTTACAGGTCAAGTCATTGATGCTAAGAAATCTAAAATAAAAAATTTCTGATGCGATATACTGTACATAGTCTACTAGTAAATTTTAATTTGAAGATTTTTGTGTAACATTTATCATGAAGCGCGATTAAAGTTTAGATAAATACGTACAAAGTGCTCCATCCATTTTAAATACCAGATTCTTATAGAGGAAATAATGGATTTCCTGCAATATTAGTAAAAAATTCATTCTCTTCTTTTTCAACACTAAACTTAAATTTATCCCTTTATTTTACTACGAAGCTTGATAAATAAATTACTATTTCGATACATTAATTAGTTAAGAAACCATGGAAAGTAAATTGTCCATAATAAAAAGTTTGGATTAGCATCACCGTAATTATTTAAGAAGTTTATTTACAAATATAGATTTATCCTATAAAGCGACTGACTGATCTTAGATTTCACTTAAACACAACAGAATATCAACGAAATAGATTTAAATCGTTAATTTATAATTTTGTCTTAATTATCTTACATAACGTGATTTTAATAGCCGATAACCATATAGTGTTACGTGTAATAATAAAATTGTGTTACAGGTTAATTCTAAAAAATAATTATTAATCGAAACATTTTCATCGTTTTTTTTTTAATTTCGCGTCATGGCTTCCTAAAAATAAATTATTATACGGGTTTGCAAAATTGATGGTTATTTCTAATGTAAGGCGTAACAGCAAATTTCATTTCCGAGCTTTTCAATTGGACTTTAGCTTTATCCAAATCCTACGAAATAAAGATATATTTTGGCGAACACGAAATATACGTTTACTTTGTTATTTACACTCTAAAAAATAGTAATATCGATCATGGGGAATTACACGGACCAAATTATTTACACAAAATCGAGATTTATAACTACAAATTTTATATCTAAAAAGACATACTTTTGCTGCTGATCATCGGGTGTAATGACTGGTGGCTATGTTACATAATTTACCGCGTTCATTTTTTTTTGCTTTATTTTAAATTCATTTCGCTATATAAAATATTTGATAAATCAAAATGCAAGCTGTCAATAACATGAATGAGGGTATTAATTAGATTGAAGAGTTTATTTACAAATAAAATATCAAATATTATGAATATGAACATTTTAACAATTTTCAATAAATTGGTACTGGCAGCTTTGGAAAAAGTCTATCGACAAATTGGAAAAGTTCAAAGCAACAGCTAGCGTTAAAATCATTTCACAATTTAACAAATCCACTGTTAAAGAACTTATCCGTAAGGTAATTACAAAACATGTATTTCGTCTGTTTAGTATAAAATAATTTGTATTAATTTAAAAATTTTATTTGCAATAATTTATCTTGAACGGTAGTACCTATTCAGAATTCAAACGTTTTTTTAAAAAAAATAGTTTATTACTAAAATTTGAATAAATTAAACAATTTTAAACCAAATTTATAACAGAGTATGAATTGTCAGACATTAATTAAATCATCATATGAGACATTTGCAATAGAATAGAAGGGGGGAAACTGCCGGAAAAAATCAAATTTACTTTTATATGCCAAATATGATTTTTAGGCCGAAATATAAAATTTATTCATTTTTTATTTTCCCGGCAGTTTCCCCTTTCTATTGCAAAGGTCCATATAGTAATTATAAAAGAAAGATATATACTTAAATAAAGAATTAAATTTAACTAAATAATAAAAGACTAATTAAAACAGTCATCCAACAAATTTCATCCTAAAGAGTTTTTCAAATATTTAGGAGAGAGCAACGACGTTAATGATGTTGGTAAATTTGGTAAAGTTCTTATTTTTGTATTATCGCAATAGAGCTCGGTTAAGGAGTTAGGTAAAGTAGGTAAACAGGTTATTTGAGTAAAATTACAATGAAGAACTTTTAAAGAATTGGGTAAAGTTGGTAAGATAGTTAACTTAGTATTATCGCAATAGAGTTTTGTTAAAGAATTAGGTAAAGTAGGCAAGCTGGTTAACTTAGTATATGAACATTGTAGGTTATTTAAAGTGTTAGGTAAAGTTGGCAAGCAAGATATATGGGTATTATAAATGTTGAGCGTTGTTAAGGCGTTAGGTAATGTTGGTAAACTTGTTAATGGAGTATTAAAGCAACGGAGTTCTTTTAAGGAATAAGGCAAGGTTGGTAAGCTGGTTATTGACGTACGTGAACAAATAAGAATTATCAAGGTGTCAGGTAAAGTTGGCAAATTTGTTACTTGAAAATATTCCCAGCGGAGAGTTGTTAATTTTCGATATCTTAGCAAACCTCCTGAAGTATTTATTATGTCATCTTTATTATGCTTAGTAATGGTTAAGTTTTCAGTTGAATCATCATAAATAATATTTGATTTTTGTGTTAACGTTAACGTATTTTCTTCTTGCTTATTAGTCGTAATATCCCGTTCTTCCGTCATTTTTTTTAAATCGTTAATAATTTCTTCTAAATTACTAATTGTATCTTGTTTGGCTTTATTTTCTTTTTCTTGCGTTTTAAGATTTTCTTCTAAATAAAAAGTCGTCATTTGCTTTTTTATGGCTGCTCCTTCTAATTCTTTAACCTTTTCTACGAAATCATTAATTATTTCTTGTTTAGCTATAATTTGTTTTTCTCGCTCTTTAACCTGTTCTTCTAAAAATGTATTAGTTTTTTGCCTGGATTTTTCTTCTTCTCGCACTTTACCCTTTTTTTCTGAATGGTTGAATTGAGAACTTAACTTTAATAATTCTTCTTTTTTTATTTTTAAATCAAAATTTAAGTTTTGAATTTCTCGTTTCAGTTCATCAAATTCAGCTAATATCTCAGTAAGTTTCTGTCCTGCTAATAATTCTCTTAATTTATCTAAATCATTACTACCTATTTCATTCAATAAAAAGGAGAGTAGAAATTGATTTTCATCGTCAACTTTTTTTTTACTTTGCGCTAACTCCTTAATTTCTTTTTCCAAAACTTTCAAAGATTTTTTGGGAATAATTACCAAATCCATTTTACGATTAAATTCCTTCCTTTTTATTGAGAAATTGTAAATTGTTATGGTAAGGGAGGGAGTTTTTTTTAACTATTTGTTGAATTTTATTTATTTATTAATTTTCAGCCCTCAACTACCATTCCTTTTTTATTTTTATGTTGATAACATTTCTTTTTGGAAATTTGTACGACATTTACTACTCGGTTGATTAACGTATCTGTCATTTTTAAAAAATTATGAGCGTTCTACATAAATATGAGGTTTATACATAAAACTAATAAAGTCTTGGTATAATATCATCTTAGTTATAATAAAAAAATTTTCTTATCTTAAATCATAGAGTTGACCGCCAGTTAAGATTTTTTGATAAAAATATTAAATGCTTCATTATCCTGTCATAGATACAATCATGTTAATCTAGACACGTTAAATTGCGAGAATAATGCTCGGGTGTGATGAACTGCTCGTGAAGTAGTTGACGTACTTTCTACTTTTCGTCTCGGTTGATAATGTATCAAAAAGTTTAAATTAAATTCGATACTGTAGCGTTAATTTCTCCATTCTATTGAAAGTAATAAATATACCTTCTATTATAAGAAATATAAAGGCTTTAGAAAGATTATTTAACAAAGATTGTTCCACAGAAAGAAATATATTTGAATTTCAAACTATATCATTTTCAGCAAAAGAATATGAAATTGTAAATTTAATTTTCAAGATAATGGTCTTTTAGTTAGAGTAAACAAATTTCATATTCATATTACCAAGAAAAGTTATCTGTCATTATCTAGCATATATTAATATTAATACGGTGATGACTAGTGCTCCGAAGGGGTCGGGACGGTTCGGGTTTTATAGGAACCCGAACCCGACCCGAGAATTGTTAAAATATTCGGATCAGCATTTACATATCCCTGTTGTAGCCCAAACGTCACCTTGTCCCAAGTTAAACTTGGGATATACCAAATCGGAATTCCTATTTCGGACTTCTCAAACTCCAATTTCTGATTTGGGATGATCATGTCCCAAACTTGATCATGTTTCAAATTCAACTTGGAATA